CAATGCTTTCAATGCATTCAATGTTTTCAAATTCAGTTCAAATGTTTTGGTTTGCATTCAATTGATTCAAACAACTGATTGTCAGGTGTGTTGAGTGCAATGTCTTCGCGATGGTATGTCTGCCAATTGGTGCACACTTTCAACATTCAATACTAACCATTAATATACTAATGACATGATAGGTATCCGCGGTATGTGTTGGGTAACCCTCAGCTGCGGGTCTTTTTGCCGGACTTTTGGATGGTTTTGCAGAAACCCAAACACCCGTTACCACCGAATCAGATCCAACTCAAAGTTCCCGTTTAGTAAGCAATGGTTGAATTTGTTTGAATGGCTTATTGATTGCAAGTGTTGTTCACCCAAAGTATGACCAAATGGGACGTCAAGAACTATTTGGAAAACATCTACAAAATGCCGGTTATCAATGTGACAACTCGTGTCCGTTGCGGTGATATTAAGAGAGCCAAAGGAAAGATATATCTCATCAAAGAGGAGGACTATAAGACAGCATTCGTTGATTTGGTATGTCTTATGTCCAAACCATTGCATCGATTCATTGTTTAATATATATATTTTCATTGAACTCAAGCCGAAAGACACGACTTTTCAATTCCCGGATCTCTTTCCCAAAGACAGAGTGAATCAGTTGTCAAAGGATTTGTCGGACGCCGAGAAAGAGGTAGAGTTCGGACGATTGAGGGAAAGGCGTAAATATTACAAGAATATGAGAGATAATGTTCCCGATTGGTTCCAACTATAAGACACTATAAGACACCATCACTTCGTTTAGTTTTAGAGACATTTATTAATAAAAACATTCAATAATTAGTAAATAAATCATACAATAGATCCAAATCTATAGATATGGACGCATTTATTGGCGCCGACCGCCAGGACTGGTATTTTGCAGTTCCAGGCGATACCGGCGCCCGCTTTCATCTGTTCCTCCATTAATACCTGATTTGTCTTAAGATTCTCGACGCGAACCGTATTATTAGGCCGTCCTCTCGTGGCTATGATATTGGAATCAAAGAATCTGATGGATTGGGAACCGTTTACGTGTCCTCTTCTCTGTTCAATCGGTAAACTAAGAGTGAATACAAAATGACAATTAGTTTACCATTTGATGGGTTGAGGCGTTTGTATGAATACCTCGACAGAGATGTGTCCCAAAAGAAAACATCAGTTCCGGCCACACATGTAATGAATAGACTATTAGTGGGAGACCAGTCGGCGCTCAGGAGTGGGAAACGATTGCAATCACATGACATGAGCGGGCGTTTCGTTTGGCAGTTATAGAAACGGATGATCCCTTTCTTTTCGGCGATAAATAACTGTTTAATGAGTGAAAAGACAATCAATTAATGGATGAATGGAGTCATGATTTGAAGACAACTACTTTGTTTGGGTCACTCTTATGCCACTTAACGCTAAC